TGGTGCTGAACAAGTTTCACAGGAGCTTCCAGACTAAGACAAACTAGGAAGAAAGGCCTGGCAATCTACTTCAAAAATCAGCCCATGGAAGCCCTATGGATCACAACAGTCCAATCTGCAACAGACCAAAGCAATGGTACGGGACCAGGCAGAGTTTGGGGTCGCCGTGGCAGGAGCCAGCTCGACGGCATCTAACAACAACAGCAAAAGCAACCGTGCACTTTGTTAATGACAGGTTCTCTTAGGGAAGGGTGCTGCCTCTAGAGGTAATGAGACTTCAGCCCAAGGTGCTGTTTAAGCAAAGACAGGAAAGGCCTCTGTCAGGGAAGCCTCAGCAGGAGGTTTGAGTTCTGCAGAAAAGTGGACTTGCTTACCACCTCCACGCTCACTCCTTCAGCTGCCTGGCTTTCTGAGAGCTAAAATAATGTGCCCTCATTATAATGTTAATTTATGTTAATTTATACCCCGCAATTGAATTTTCAAGTAGATTATTACATTTTCTCCATGGGTCCAGGAAATCATTAGTCCCACAGGATCTAATTTATTAAACATATTTGGGTCCTTACAACTTTTCCATTAGTAATCCCTAAGCACATTTAGTACAAGTGAATTAGAAGATGGTTGATGTTAACAAAGGAGCCCTGGTGGCGGTGGCACAGTGGTTAAGTGTTTGGCTGCCAACCAAAAGGTCAGCAGTTTGGACCCATCAGCTGCTCTGCAGGAGAAAGATGTGGCAGTCTGCTTCTGTAAAGATTACAGCCTTGGACACCCTATGGGGCAAAGGTTCTACCCTGTCCTGTGGGGTCACTATGAGTCAAAATCAACTCAACAGCAGTGGGTTTTGGGGTTTGAGTTGATGTGAAAGAACATCACTCTCAGAGGAATCTCAGCACCAAGACTGCGGGTATGGTGGACAACCAAATGTCATTGTTTCAGGACTTTGGAACTTGGAACCCATAGCCTCTGCTTGGACAAACTGGGTTTCCCTGCTGTTTTTAGGAATGTTTGATGTTAAGATGAATTTCTGTGTTACTTTTCCTTACTGCTAATTTCCTAATTCATTCTAAGTTTCAGACTTAGAAGAACCTTTGAAGCTAAATGAGCTGAAAATATCTTTTAAAAATAAGAAGCACATTTAGATTCTGGTGCCCAGCAAATTCCCTGTGAAGGAAAGTTCCAAATTTGTGATTCTATTTGCATTTCCATCAACACAGAGAATCTTTGTCTGTGCTTATTATGTGACAAATAACAGTGTTAGGAATGAGGTGTTGTAAGACTCTAGTTATGCATATGCCCCAATCCTTGTTGGTGCATTTACAATGTGAAGCAATACAAAACTTGTACTTTTGGTTCGAGAGGGTTTTTTGTTCATTTGTTTTTGTTTTTTAAATGCTGATATTTTAATTCATTTTTACTAACATTGGCCTCCTTTAAAGTAATTAAAATGTTAAAAAATAAATACAGTGCTATAGTGTCATAGATTGGTCTCCCTGGGAAGCAGATTCTGAGCTGGAGGTGCACATACAAACTGTCTATTAGGGATCAACAACTGTGGAAGGGAGGGAGGAGCTGGGGTTGGAAAAGCAAGAAGGTAAGCTGCAAGGCAGGCCCATCCATGGCCTCAGCCAGCCCCTCAGTTAGCTCTGAGACTGAGATGGGCCTTTAGAACTGTTCTAAGTAGGCCCAGGGGACAGGCCTCCGTACCTCACACTGATCAGAGAGACTGGGACATAGGCTCCATGGCTCTCACCATCACATGAGTTCCAGGTCCAGGATGTCAAGAAGGGGCAGAGAATCCCAGAACTGAAAAGGCCATTGGCCAAGTACTATAGATGAGTTGGGGTAACCAGTGTGGATGGACATCCTTCTCTCCTGAAGAAGAATCTGGGTAAGCCCATCATGTCCACCCCACAAGGATTTGGACGCCAACTCTGGTCAAGTTCCCATCTCTCTGGCTATGTAAATTTTAATTAAAATTAAGTAAAATGAAAACTTCAGTTTTTCAATTGCACGAACCACGTTTCAAATGCTCAATAGCCACAGGTAGCTGGTGGCTACCATACTGGACAGTGCAGAACATCTCCCTCATTGCAGACAGTCCTGCTGGACAGTGCTGCTCCCCACATACTATGAGCCATGTCTGTCAGAGGTCTTGCTGCCCACCTGAGATGCTGCCAGAAGGAAGGTATGGGTCCCCGTTACCTTAACACCTGTGACCTCTCTCTCCTCTCATCAGCCAGGAGCAATCTCTTGTTAGTCTTTTCCCTCCATTCTATTTTCCTTTTTGTTTACGTTGTTAGGTGCCGTTGAGTCGGTTCTGACTCATAGCAGCCCTATAGGACAGGGTAGAACCACCCCACAGGGTTTCCAAGGAGCGGCTGGTGGATTCGAACTGCCGACCTTTTGGTTAGCAGCCAAGTTCTTAACCATTGCGCCACCAGGGCTCTTAGAGTTTTGACATTACTAAACCAGAACTAAAATCAACAGGAACTGAAAAAGATGCTTTCTGTTTCCTTATGGGGAAATCGTCAGCAAGATGTGGGGAAATAGTCATAGTCCATCCTACTCATTCAGCTAAAGAACAGGAAGAAAATCAAATTAAGTTTTCATGTTAAAATAGTCTAAACATTCATACTCTGCCACATTAGCATCTAAAAATATACCATCATTGGCCAGCAAGAAATTATTGCAAAGCAATGAAATTATGACATTAATATATTTTAACATTCAGCAAATAAAACATTTTAGAGTTGGCCTCCTCCAGAACAAACCACATTTGATGATCATACAAACCCACTCTGTTAGTGACCCTTTCTATGAGTCATCTACTTTAATTATTCAGGAAACATTACATTGGGGCCTTTATTTGCTGATTCTTCTATAGCATTTTTACACAAGTTTTTGTTATGCTGACTATACCTCTTTGAAAACATTTCTGAACAAATTCTTCCAGCCTTGAAATTTAATGTCTTTAGTACATGCAGTATTCATTGTTTTGTTTTGCTTTTATTTTTCCCTCTGGAGTCTCAGAAAAAGTCTGGCCATTGCACAAACCATTTGTGGTGCTTAAGAGCTGATCAATACATATATTGAAAGGATGGAGCCTGAGCAGATCCTTTCTTTCTGCATTGCACATAGACCCTCCCATAAAGCCTATAGAAAGGGAAGTCATATTATGTTTGTGTCCTTTGGTGGAAGGTTGCAGAACTAAGCCAAACATACGTACACATATTGCATGTTTATAAAATAGGATAGAAAGACATACCACTGCATTCTAAAAAAGGAATAAAGAGCGGGTTGCGTAGGAGTTCTTGCACTACTGCATGATGTGACAAAGGACAAAGGTTGCCATCGGGGGCTGTTTATCTGGAAGAGCAATCACCTACCTGAGTCTGATGCTACGGTCTCTCAGACCAGGATTCCTTCCTTCATGCATTCATTCATCGTTCATTTATTGAAGCATGTGTGTGATAAACAATGGGCTAGGCTTTCTAGATTTCTGATCAGTTGAGCCTACAACCAAGAATCCAAGCAAAACAAATTATCCCACTTATTAATTTGGTTTCATGCCCAGCACTCCAGTGCAAAGGTCTAGTAAAGATTGGATAGGGGGATGTGGCATAGGATTGATGCTGTGCTGGAGCTTCTAACTTCCTTCTGAAACATAGACCTTGAGTCCACCATGTTTGCCTGGGCCAGCAGATGGGAGCAGGTGGTGATGAGGCGCCTCAAGTCCAAGCCTAGTCTTTTTCCTTAGTCAGCTGCCTGGACCCGGACCATAGCAGTGTAACAACCAAGTCTCAGGCGGGACCAAGAAGGAGGCAGAGGGCCTTCCCCTTCTTTCACAGCAGTGAGTCTGCCCACCAGGGAGACATGGCCCAGCAAATAGGCCATTCTCCCACCAAAGAGAAGCAGCTAATGAGTGTGGTGACAGGAAGGTAAGCCCACTCCAAGTCACTCTCCTCCTTGAAAGGGCAGAGTCTCCTCCTTGGTCAGTGGGCCAAGGCCACCTGAAGAGATGAGCTTTAAAATGTCTTTTCTCCCCTACATGTAATCATGTCTCATAGCAGTGTTGGTTAAATCGAATATGTCAGATACCTAGCATGAGTAGGCGTGTGCCTAGCACATAGTTTGGGGTCCACTAAGTAAATGTTAGCATGTTCTCTCCACACTCATGTATTATGAGTTTGAGGAAAGATGCTGGGTCAGAGTAATCTTTGCAGTATGTTTGTTGAATTGAGTAAAATAAATGTTCATTTATTGAGACCCTCGCATGTGCAGCCCTGCGTTTCTTTAGTTTAAAACAAGGAACCCTAGCGCACAATGGTTAAGCGCTAGGCTACTACAGACCAGGAAACCCTAATGGACAATTCTGCTCTGTCGTATAGGATCACTGTGAGTTGGAATCGCCTCAATGGCACCCAACAATAAAAACAATAGGAGAATTATGGGACTTTGCAAACCAGGAAGGAACCTTGGAGATCATAATCTAATTCCCTCCTTTTACAGAGGAGGCAGCCAGGGTCCTGTGACCTAGGAGAATAAGGACTCTAACTTGCAGCTAGGAGGAGTTTCCATGGCAGCTTATCCCACTGAGAGATCCTCAGAGGCAGGCGCTCACTCACATCTGTGTCCACAGGACCCCCAGTAGAGTCTGGCATGTTGTTGGCTCTCAGGAAATACGTGTTACATAAATTAATTCATCTGTATCCCGCTGGTTGGCCTTGGGCACCCTGAAGCATAGCTTGTGGCTTTACAGGACTATTGTGAACAGACGTGTGGTGTAACCTCCATACAACATATAGGCGCTTAAAGTTAGACTCTTTCCTGGAATACTTGATGAAAAATTAAAACATTTTAGCATCCTTAAATGAGTGTGTGTATATGTATATATATGTGTACATATATATAGACACACACATAAAGAGAGAGAGGGAATGTTTTCAAAGGCACATCAGGGATTACTGTACCACATAGTGTGTGTTGTATTTTTATTTCAGGTAGGAGAAGTAATCACAGGTGGCAGAAAATCATCCAAGTCTGTGAAAACCACCTCAGATGTCATCAAAGAACAAACAAACAACAGGTAACCCCCCTCGGGGCTGTCTTTAGTTTTATTGTATTGTCTTCATTGTCATTTTGTTGCCTAGAATGTAGCATCCAAAAAGATACGATTATTTGACATTTAAAGTTTACTCATGCTATGAATGGTAATATGTGTTCCCCAAACCTTAAACTGTAGATTTGTAAGGCTCTCGGTCCATGAAAAACACATCTGTGCACATACCGGGCCCAATAGCTTGCAGTAATGAGGATGGAGACATCAACACCCATGACTGCCAACGTTTGCTGAGCACTCGCTATGTATTTTGCGTGCTTTTCCCATATCAGCACATTTAACCCTCATAGTTTTTATTCTCAGTTTTCAAATGGAGAAACTGAGGCAGAGAGCAGTTTAGAATGTCCCCAAGGTCACGCAGCCATGTTGTACTGGGTTGGCTCTGGTGGGCTGTGCTCATACTAGTGCTCACACTGCCCCCTATTATGATCCACATGTCACTTCGTAGATTCGGAGACTCTTGGGGCTGCAAGAGCCCAAGAGGCCCCATGGTGTGTCCTCCCATCCATCTCCTGACGATCGGGTATCTTCCAGCCTCTGCTTACACGCCTGTCCCAGCGGGACCCTCACCCTCTCAATAGAATACTTATCTCAGTCTCAGTGTGCCCCCAACCTTAGCTGGCTCTTCATCTTTCTCTCTGATTTCTACTTGGGGATTCTGGCTCAGCCCCCTGGAGACCCTCAGAACAAAACTGATCTTCCTTAAGCAGCAACATCCCTAAAAGTATTTTGCACAAAGCTCTCGCCTTTCTCAGTCCACCTCTAGAACGGGTGTCCTAGTTCTTTCAACCGTCCTTCTACGTGTCGTGGTTTCCAGACTCTTCCCCTCCAGATGGTCAAATCTATTTTGAACCAAGGCAAACAATCTTGGCGATACAAATGTATATACCAGAATTGTCGTCATAAAAATACCTGAACAAGAGCTGTATATATGCCTTGCATAAAAGAAGCAGGCAGGCATTAGCGTATTCAAGGACAACAGTTTTTTAGAAGTTTTATAGAGGTTTTCAAACACAGGGTTTGTTTGAACAACAGGTATGGAATTAAGTACCCACTGGAAAGTGGGTTGCTGTTTATAACCTTGGAAATCGACTCTCCTATTTCCCAGCTTAGTGATTTTCATTTCATATACATGTCTAATTTATGGAGATTCAAGGATATTATGACTATTATGAATAGTCACAGATATAATTAACCCCCAACACATGTAAAGAGTCTGAGTCTAATTTGTGCAGAATCGCAGGGCTGGGAAGCCAAACCGTTTGCACAGAGTTTGGAGCTGGTTTTCAGACCTCAGGAAAGCCGTCACGACTGTGATTACACTTGAGGATTCGAGATGTCTGAGCACAGTTCTTCATGGCGGTGCCCCCTGTGGTAGTTTTACAACGCTTTTCCTTTTCATTTTGGTTACTGAGACACGGTCACCCCACAACCACACATAAAATGTCTGTGTGAAGACTCTGGTACTCCTTAATCAAGCCGACGAACTTCGTTATCACACCCTGTCTGCCTCTGGCTAGGCAACCCCACTAACCAAACAGCTGCGAGTTAAGGCTGCACACACGAAGGCCTGAGGCCGGGCAGGGTTGGGGCTTTGAGGGAAGAAGGATGGCGACGGGGGGAGGGGGACAGTAGTCTGCTGAGTGGGACAGAAGAGGCCCCTCAACCCTTCCCACCCCAGAGTGGCCCACTCCTCATGCTGAGAGGCAGAGTGAATGGAGGGAGACGAACAGATCAGGCTGGGGTTTGTTCGTCTTGGCTGGATGGGATCACATTTGCGGAGAGGGTAACTGACTCGCTCAGCTCTTGTCATCCTGTGACACTGTGAGATGAAGCCAGATGCACAACTTTCTCAAAAAATGAAGGTATTTACTGAGTGCCTGTTCTGTGCATGGAGCCCCGGTGGCACAGTGGTTAAGAGCTCAGCTGCGCACCAGAAGGTTGGCAGTTCAAATCCACCAGCTGCTCCTTGGAAACCCTATGGGGGCACTTCTACTCTGCCCTATAGGGTCGCTATGAGTCAGAATTGGCTCAGTGGCAATGGGTTTTTGGTTACTCTGTGCTCCATGATGCTATACATTATCTATCTTTGATCTTCAAAATAACATTAGCATTTCTACGTACTGAGGCACAGAGAGGTGGTGTAATTTGCCAAAGCTCACAGGGTTGGTAGCGGTGGAACGAGGATCATAAAACCTGGTACACTCTTGGGCTTGCCTTTCTACTCTCTTCATGGTCTGTTGATGAACAGAAGATCTTAATTTTAAAATAACTGAAATTACTAAACGTTTTTATGGTTAATTTTTTCTTTATCTTATTTAAGAAATCCTTTCCTACCCTGAATTCATAAAAAGGCAGTCCCTTACATTATATTTTGTAGCTTTATAGGTTTGCCTTTTATATTAGGTATAATCCATCAGGATTGATTGTTTAAGGTATGACAATTTTGTTAAGGTATGATAATGTTTTTCCAATATGGACACCCCCGTTACCCCAGTTTGTCAGTTTGTCGTGCTGTGGTGACTTGCATGTTGCTGTGATGCTGGAAGCTATGCCACCAGTATTTCAAATACCAGCAGGGTTACCCATGGCGGACAGGTTTCAGCAGAGCTTCCAGACTAAGACAGGCTGGGAAGAACGGCCTGGTGATCCATTTCAAAACATTAGCCAATGAAAACCCCATGGATCACAACAGAATATTGTCCAAAATAGTGCTAGAATGTTGGAAGGCACTCAAAATACACGGTAGCTGCAACAATGGACTCAAACATACCAAGAGTTGTGAAAACTGTTACAACCTTTTGTTGCAGCTGGGCAACCTTTTGTTCTGTTGTGCATGAGGTCACGGTGAGTTGGAGCTGACTTGATGGCAACTAATAGCAACAGAAATTCCTTGGTGTGTTTACAGCAGCTAACAATTCCTTCATGATCTCAAGGAGATTTTCAGTGGGAGGTGAAATTGCTTGGTCTGAATGTGCTAGCTCACCATACTACCAGAAAAAAAGATTATTTCTTTATGTTCTTTAATAGAAGGAATCTGTCTTTGATGTGTTTTACTCCTAGTGGTTTTAGATTTTTTTTTTTTTTGCTTTCTTCCGTGGTAATGAATCTGTTTATTTTGTCGTCCATCTTTTCGTACTAGACTCTAGACTTTCTGACAGGCGGGTAGTGGGTAAAACTGGTGACCGGCTTCTCTGCCTTAGGGCCTCTGACATTGAGGTGGGAAAGTAGATGAGAAAAGCCCTTCTCCTTATTATTTTGGGGATTAGTGTGATCCTTGAGTGCCCCCAGCTTAGCTGCTCACTGTTTGTTACCCCAGAGACTCGTGAGTAATTAAAGTCTCCCAATGCAATTAGTTATCCCAGCACCAGAAGCAGGGGAGCCGCAGGTAACCAGATACTGGCTACATTCATTGTTTATGACTTAAATCCCAAAATTATGGCCCAGGGGATATGCCTAGAAGGGATAAGCCTCTTTTCCTCAAAGTCAAGGACAATATAATTATCATAGATGCATTTAGATATTTCCTTAATTAAGCCACAGATATCATAGCTTTAGGAAGGCAGCTGTGCTCACCGCTATACCACCAACGCAGGTATCATAACTTTTAAAGTAAGAACGTAGTCATTAAAAGTAGAGCTGTATTTAATAGGAACCCTGGTGGTGCAGAGGTTAAGAGCTCTGCTGCCAAGCAGAAGGCCAGCAGTTTGAATTCACCAGCTGCTCCCTGAAAACACTATGGGGCAGTTCGACTCTGTCGTATAGGGTTGATAGGAGTCCGAATCGACTCGATGGCAACAGGTTAGGTGTTTGTTTGCTTTTTGAATATTTAATAATGGCTGTAGTGTAGGTCCTTGAACTTTAACTTCCTACATTTGTATTAAAACATTTTCCAAACTAGAGAGTACCATGACAATGTAGATGAACGTTGTTATTGTCGTTATTATTACTTACACAATTAGTCTGTCAGGTTTGAGGACTCGCTGGAAGGCCTCACCAAAAAAAAAAAAACTGTTGCTGTCAAGTCAATTCTCACTCATAGTGACCCTATAGGACAGAGTGGAACTGCCTTATATGGTTTCCAAGGACAGCTGGTGGATTCGAACTGCCGACCTTTAGGTTAGCAGCCAGACGCTTAACGATAGTCATACTCGAGGTTAAGATTAATTACAGCGAAAGTATGCAAACCAAAATCAGCAAAGGGTGAAGTCCAGAGGAAACCTAATGCATGTTTCCAAGTGTCCTCTTCCCGTGGAGTCTCACAAAAACCAAAAACCAAACCCGTTGTCATCGTGTTGATTCTGACTCATAGCAACCTTATAGGACAGAGTAGAACTGCCCCAGCGAGTTCCCAAGGAGCGGCTGGTGGATTTGAACTGCCAACCTTTCGGTTAGCAGCCAAGCTCTTAACCACTGAGCCACCAGGGATCCAGAGTCTCACCAGATGCATTTAATTCCCCCAGCAGTGAGTTGTGACACTTGTGAAGTGTGGTCTACCAAGGAAGCTCATTAGAGACACTGCCCAGGGTTTTTATTGGTGGCTGGTCACTCTCCCAGAAGGGAAGGAGGTGGTTAGCATCAGCCACGTTGCTTGCACAGTCTAGCCACCATGAGCCACCCTTGTTCTTTAGGGAATGTTTCATATCAGTGTAGGAACACTTACTATGCAAGTTCCTAGGGGCCAGCCAAGGGTCAACCTTGCAGACAGGCCTTCTTAAGGCCAGCCGTCTCAGGCAGGCAGTCACCAGCATTATGACGGTGATTACTTCCTGGACATTGGTATCATTTCCTATGTAACAATTCTCTAGTCCTTTTAAAGGTAGAGGAACCAGGGAATACCAGCTGGAGCCTGGGTTTCCCCTGGAGTCTCCTTCCCATGTGCTCATCCAACTCCTTAAACACCTTCCAGGCATCTTCAGACCCACCTCTGTTCACCTCTTCGCAGAGCACAAGTCTATTTTGATTTCTCCCTCCTCTTGCAGCATACGCAGTTTATAGTGTGCAATCCAGGTCTTCAAAACAGGTTATTTTATACTCTTTGTATTTTTTCTCAAGGGGGCATGTGTATTAGTCAAAGTACTAAGAGAAGTCAGAAAACTCAAATGCCTTCAAGAGCTGAGCAGGTTACAGAAATGAGTGGGGGGTTGCAAGGACAATAGAGAGTTTGCACTTCTTAAAAAAAAAAATTGAACCTCCCTCTCCCCAACAAAGCGTGTCTGCTGGGTAAATTCAGTCTGAGGACCACCATTTTGAGCTCCTGTAGGAGACTGTGATTTTCTTTAGCACAGAGATCATTCTTATTTAATTTCCTTATCCCTCTATAGTACGATAGTATGTTTTCATCTATTCAACAAGTAATTATTCAGTAAAGCTGTATGCCAAGGATATAAGGTGAAAAAGACAAAACCTTTGTCTCAAGGAAGTCGGTCTGGGGGGGGGACAGACCGATATGAAACAATTACCTGAGCGTGTGATGGTCTATGTTAAAGCACTGCACTGTGCTGTGAGACCTTGTCTGTTTGCACAGACCATGGTATGCCTGGTGCCTGGCAAGGCAACTGGAACATGTTGTTGGTAGCTGCCATCAAGTTGACTCTGACTCTTGGTGATCTTAGGCAAACAGTTTAAGGTTGTCTGGTCCTGCATCCTCCTCACCATTACCAGCATGTTAGACTGCATCCTTGTAGCTACTGTGCCAATCCATCTCACCGAGGGTCTCCTTTGCCCTCGTTGGCCCTCCACTTCACCAAACATGATGTTCTCCTCTAGTTATTGGTCCCCACTGACAACATGTTCAAAGCAACAGAGTCAGATAATGTTCTACTGTAAGCCATGGGGTTTTCTTTGGCTAATTTTCAGGAGTAGATTGCCAGGCCTTTCTTCCTAGTCTTAGTCTTGAAGCTCCACTGAAATCTGTCCACCATGGGTGACCCTGCTGGTATTTGGACTACCAGTTGCATAGCTTCTAGTATCATAGCAACACACAAGCCACCATAGCTTGACAAACTGATGGATGGGGGTGGGGGTGGTGGTACGTCGTATGTATGTGTTGAATGAGTAAATGAATGAATGAATGGTGCAGTGACTCTAAAATAATCTGAACATCAAAATCATGGGGAAACTTTATATAAATACAGGTTACTGGGTCCAGTCCCAGGCCCATTTGATCAAAATTGCCAGGAAAGTGGCCCAGCAACCTGTATTAGCTACAGAGCTCTCCATGTGGCTATGATAATGGGAATCATTGGCAAACTGGAGTTCTTCCTTGATCTGTTTCATTCTTGCTGTTGCTGGGAGAGCTGGGTGAGGGCAGTAAGAACAGTTCTTGTGGGAGGGAAAGCTGGTGGGGGTAAGTTGTGCCATGTACCTGGTCTTGGAGAATAAACACCCCTACCAAACCACAGCAGGTTGGATTGTCTGAAGCAGCAGGTTCCCAGAGCCTGATTAGCTGCCTTCAGGAGTAAGAATTGCCCAGAGCAATTCTACTATTGATCCTTGCTGTGGGGCTTTGCCTGCTATATCATTTCAGTTATCAGACATATTTCTTGGTAAGCAGAGTCCCCCAGGTGACCTCTCTTCCAGCTGCCTATGGATTGGCACAGCCCAGTAATACTTTTTAGTGCTTAATTTCTTCAGATGTCAGAACCTTGCTTCCACAAGGCTTGAAGTTACTTGAAGCCAGGGCCAGTCTCATATTTTCACCTCTATGTTCCTGGTAGAGCACTTGACAATGTTTGTTGAAGAATGAGTGAATGAATTGAATCTATTTGAAACTTAATTTTAAAAGATGTAATATTAATTGCCCTTTGCCCTTGTCATTGTTGTTGTAGAAGCAAGCAAACTGAGAAGCTAGAAGTAGATCCTAGCAAGCATTCATTTCCTGATGTGGCTAACATTGTTCAAGAGAAAAAACACACACCTAGAAGAGTTGGATCTGAACCAAAATGTATACCAAGGGATGACGATCCAGACTTTGAAGATAACCCTGATGTGCCTCCATTGATTTGAAACAAAAGGCCACATTGTCATTAACTGTGACCCACCAGACCCAGTTTATCTCAGTACAGAGTGTATGCGTATCATTTATGGGGTAAACACAGAGTTATTTATCAATATTACTACTATAATGTTTTAACTCTTCAGCTTTGTATAGTACTATCCTTAAACTAGTTTAAAATTAAAATATGTACCTTAAATATATGATAATTGATCATTTGTCTATAATAAAGTACTGGCTAGTAAAAATGTTCAATAAATCTTAGAACTACTACACAAAACATTTATTATAAATCACAGCACTCTCTGCTTGTGGAGATAAATTAGATCATAGATAAAAGCACTAATTATTGGCCAAACTCAGAAGTTAAAACTAATTTAAGGTCAACTTGGAATGCTTTAATATGATTTTAAGCAGTGTTTCAGTTTCTTTTCTAGATATGTTTGCTTTCTCTGGTGGCATGGTATAATGGCAATAATATCAGTTTTAAAATTAAACACCCTGAAATTGAATTCCAGCTCAATCACTTTATAAAGATTTTCAGCAAGTCCTTTAACTTTTCTGAGCCTTACTGGATTTATCTGTAACTGGGGAATAATAATGTTTGCCTCATAGGTTTGTCTCAATATAAACTACATAAAGTGCCTAGTATAGCGTCTGTTATACGTTTGCTGTTCCTTCTTTATCCGTCTCCCTTTCTTTCTCTCTCTTCCCCTCTTCCTTTTATTCTTTACCCATTTCCTCAATTACTTTTCTCATCATCTCTTTTTTCTCTTCATCTTCCTCCTCCCCATCCCACTCTTCCTATTCTACTGCCATCTTCACGCTTTTTGATATTTGTGTGTCTTAATTATCTGGTGTTGCTATAACAGAAATACCACACATGTGTGGCTTTAATGAACAGAAATTTATTTTCTCACAGTTAGGAGGCTAGAAGACTGAATTCAGGGCACTGGCTCTAGGGGAAGGATTTCTCTCTGCGTCAGCTCTGGGGTAAGGTCCTTGTCTCTTTTCAGCTTCAGTTTCTAGATTCCTTTGCAATTTTCATGTGCATGGTATCTATCTTCTCCTATCTGTGCTTCCTTGCTTTTGTGCCTAATCTCTTTTATATCTAAAAAGTGATTGGATTTAAGATACAGTCTATACTGATATGGCTTCATTCCTTATTCCTAAAAGGAGTTACGTCCAGAGATATAGGGGTTAGGATCTACAACACATATTTTGGGGGAACACAATTCAATCCATAACATTGTGCTTCTTCTTTATATAGATGATTATTAAGTAAATATTTCATATATAGTGTAGGAAAAATTATTGTTACTCTGATTATGATATACCAGCATTTAAATTAGGCTTCCCCAAATACTCATTCAACAAATACTTATTGAGCAACTATTGAGTTTTAGGCACTGCTTTAAGCCATTGCCATCGAGTCGATTCTGACTCATAGAGACCCTACAGGGCAGAGCAGAACTGCCCCATAGGGTTTCCTAAGCTGTAATCTTTATGGAAGCAGATTGCCACACCTTTCTTCCGCAGAGTGGCTAGTGGGGTTGACCTTTCGGTTAGCAGCTGAGTGTTTAACCACTGCACCACCAGGGCTCCTAGGCACTGCTCTAGTCATCAGGAATTCAGTCATTTTTAAAAAAGCAGCTAAACTTATAAACATATAATATGCCAGGTGGTGATAAAAGCTGTGAAGGAAAATTGAGCACAGTAAGGGGATCAAGGGTGATGGGGGTGTTTTTTCAGACAAGGCCTCCAGGGAAGCCTCTCAGATAAGCTAATGTTTTAGCAGAGAACCAAAGTATATCAGTCAGGGTTCATTTGGGAAAATTGAGCCACTATAAATGTGATGGAAATATAGGATTGATTATAAGAATTGACTTTACACAAACATGGGAGGAGCTGGAGAAGTGCAGTTCTAGGAGGGAGAGGTGGGGGACTAGAGGAACAGCACTAGCCAGTCTACTTGAAGCACACTTGCAGGTGGACAAGTTGGAGCTCACACAGAATCGGAGAAGCCAAGCTCATCAGGATGCTGAAGGGGACTGTGACAGGGGAGCTTGTGGAGAGGTCTATGGAAATTAGCAACTCTTGGGAAGCCATTGCCCCTGTGTAGCTGCTACCTCTTAGATCCATGTCCAAGCCCCTGGTAGGTAGGCTTGGGACCACTTTAGTTAGCAGGCTTGCAGTAAGAAATATGAGATGGATGCAGAGTGGGATCTGCTGGGCAATTTTGCATCTGCCCTTCACTGTATCTGATGGCAACGACTGTCTGAGTGTAGTACCTTCTGCTTCAGTTCCACTTCCCAAACCTCATGCAGGTTTCCTCTTTTGGCGAACTCCACCCGGAAATCATGCAAAGAAGGAGATTCTGGAAAGTACAGTTCTCAGCCTTAGCCAGGGTGACATTCTACAATCCAAAAGAGTCCAACTCTTATCAACTTGGCAGCCATATACATTTATCATAACTATGTTTAATTTACAAATAAAGACAAAGAAAAATTATACTTCTGACTAACCTGATGCAATTATCCCTTAAACAACTGAAACCACGCTATCCCTCCCTCTCCCCCAAAAGGATACACAAGGTGCCATATGTCACCTTCACCATCTTTGGGTGCTGATCAATTCCACTTCTAGAGGAGTCACACTCCCCTTTTTATATCCTATATAAAATGTAGAGATACAAAGTTAACCCCTATTAACACATCTTATTTAAAAGGGGAGAAAGAAAACAAAGAAATATGTGTGTATGTGTGTGTGTGTAGAGTTTTTACATGGATATATATATATATATATAGAGAGAGAGAGAGAGAAGGAGAGAGAGATTTATACACAAAGGTATTCAAATCAAGGCCTAGAAGAAATATCACTAGTATAGTCCTTGTTCTTGCAGATGGCCATGTGGTTGTAGCTGGTCACTGGTATTTATAGCTTCCTTCTTCTGCTCCTTATTCCGTATTACATTTACCCTCAGCAAGCACCTCAGCTGGTCATAGTTCCTTGTCTGATGGAATGACCCAACCTTCATTCCTGAGATTCTCTGCCATTTGTAGTCATCCTAACTATATTGAGTATTTAGTTTTCCATTTAAGTTCTGACAGAATATGGAAGTACTAAGAGATGCCCCTAGAATCTTCTACACTTCTGATATACTTCCTGCTACCGTGCCCTCCAGCACCCCACCGTGAATAGTAAACCAAAAACCAAACCCATTGCCATCCAGTCGATTCCAACTCATAGCGACCCTCTAGGACAGAGTAGAACTGCCCCACAGAGTTTCCAAGGAGTGCCTGGTGGATTCGAACTGCTGACCTTTTGACTAGCAACCATAGCACTTAACCACTATGCCACCAGGGCTTCCTCCGTGAATAGTAGCCATCCGATTTTCCTGTGATAGTCACACTACCCCAGCTAGTACAATAACGTCCTTCTCTGCCTATTGGTTCACTGGCACAAGGTCAGTCTTAACTTCCAGTTAGAAGGCAGCCTTGTTGTGTACCCTGATGGAAGCACTCTTGCCTTTGCAACGAATGCCATTAAACCAGCAGAGCCCAAAGTTTCAGGAACAGCAAGTAAAACTTTTGCTAGTTAATCACTAGGGGTAATAGTGGAGGATTCGGTCCCATTTTGGCCTCTTGATTAGCAGACCTGTGAATCTTGGCTATGAGAAGAACAGCACCATATATTGCCCAGAGTCATAGAATATACTCTATGCTAGGGAACATTACCCCATCCATTCAAAGTGTTATCATCCTGCTGCCACTATGGTTGAGTCTTCAAAAGGCCATTTCATTGTTCTGTCAGGCCAGCTGCCCCAGGGCAATGGAGAACATGGTAAGTCTAGTGAATTCCATAAACGTCATTTCATTGGCATACTTTATTTGTGATAAAATGAGTTCCCTGGTATCATGGATTGAATTGTGTCCCCTAAAAATATGCGTATCAATTTGGCTAGGCCATGATTCCCAGTATTGTGTGATTGTCCACCATTTTGTCATCTGATGTGATTTTCCTATGTGTTGTAAATCCTACCTCTATGATGTTAATGAGGTGGGATAGGTGGCAGTTAGGTTAATGAGGCAGGACTCAATCTACAAGATTGGATTGTGTCTTGAGCCAGTCTCTTTTGAGATATAAAAGAAGCGAGCAGAGAGACAAGGGGAACTCATATCACCAAGAAAGCAGCACCGGGAGCAGAGCACATTCTTTAGACCCAGGGTTCCTGTGCAGACAAGCTCCTAGTCCAGGGGAAGGCTGATGAGAAGGACCTTCCTTCAGAGCCAACAGAGAGAGAAAGCCTTCCCCTGGAGCTGATGCCCTGAATTTGGACTTCTAGCCTACTGGACTGTGAGAGAATAAACTTCTCTTTGTTAAAGCTATCTACTTGTGGTATTTCTGTTATAGCAGCACTAGATGACTAAGACACCTGGTCAGAGGTGACATTGCATGAAATACTGTGGTGGTGAATACGACATTATAGAAGTCCACAGACGGTGGTTTTGGCAGAAGCATGGTAGGGAAGGCAGGCAGATTCATACTCAGAGGGAGTGTATATTGCAGTGAGAACAAAGCGCTGCCCCTTCCATGATGGAAGTGTTCCCGAGTAATCAACCTGCCACCAGGTGGCTGGCTGGTCCCCTGGGGTATAGCGTCATATAAGGAAGGGGCTCAGTGTTATTTTCTGCTATTGACCTACTAGTCACAGTCTTAAAACGTGTCTGCAAATTATTTGACATTCTTCCCATCAAGAGGTGGAATCTGTGCCCTCTCCTCTTGAATCAGGATTAACCCTAGTGATTTGCTTTTAACCGACAGAATAAAAATGAAGTGATGTTCCATGGATGTCAAGGCTATATCAGAAAAGGTCATACATCTGCTGCTTGATTCTCTTGGGACACTTGCTCTGGGAGAATCTAGTCTCCATGTAAGAAGTCCCACTACCCTGAGACTGCCACGCTGGAGAAGTTACTTGTAGGCATTCCGGTCAAAAGCCCCAGCTGGG